GGCTTTTTTTCTTTTTGCTTATGTGGTGCTGGGGAATCGAACCCAGGGCCTCATGCATGCAAGGCAAGCACTCTACCACTGAGCTACCTTCCCAGCCCCTCATTAAGTCTTTTAAATGCACTGGTGCAAAGATATGTAAAGTGACTACAGCCCAAAGAAATGCCATGAGTTTTCTTTTAAGTTTTCCAGAGTTGTGAATAGGTTGTACAATTATTTGTTTTCTGCCTCTGATGGTGAAGGTGGCTTAAGCCTTCAGCCCCAAGCACCGAATTAGGATTGGGGAGGATGAGTCCTGAAACAAGTGGATTATAGGATCAGAATAAACACAATTTTAACACGGTTAGGTGTCTGGAAAATAATTAGGAATAAAAATACTACTATGATCTGTGTGCTGATGACTCATGCCTGTAATCCTAGCTACTTAGGAGGCTGAGATCTGAGGATTGAGGTTCTGTGGGCAGGAAAGCCTCTGAGACTCTTATCTCCAGTTACCCATCAGAAAACTGGAAGTGGTGCTGTGGCTCCAAGTGGTAGAACGCTAACCTTGAGCAAAACTGCTCAAGGGGAGCATGCAGGCCCCTCATTGAAGCCCCACAACTGACAAGAAAACAACAAAAAACAAGACAAAACAAAACTAGTATGTTCTGGCATGACATAACCACTTATACGAATGCAATCTAAAATGACATGAAAACTACTCCCCTAGCAAGTGAGAAAGATAGAGAAGAACAAGACTAAGAAAACCCAGCAAAACAAGCAATTGCCAATTATATTCCTACTGTGTATCCCGACAAATTATAGTAAAAATTACAAAAGTACAACCTTTTAAACAGAATTGTAAGCAAATACTACTACTTCATGCATCAAGTTCCAAAACTTTGGCAAAACTTACTATTAATGTCCCAAAACAGATGCCATGGGCCTCTGGGTCAGTGATGGTCAGTGACAGAGTTCAGGGAGCCTTGGGCATAGGGCTGCTCTTTCCCTTTGGGTGAAGGAAGGTGTGGCTTTGCTGACTTGACTAGGCTGAGGCACTGGACATTACCTTAAGCAGTCACAGAGACTGTTCTCGTCAATTCTATTGGAATGCTTTAGCAAACTTCAGTGTAAAAGTGCTGTGACACGGTAAACATTAAACTTCACCATTCAGCAGGCCCCACCAAAGCTTGTGTGTTTCTTCTCTCCCTCCCCTTTGTGGGGCTTTTCTTCCCCTGTGTCTGTGCTTGCTCTAGATTCCCTCTCAGTGGCAAGACTAGCTTAGTTACTGTCAGTAAGCTGGGACTCCCAGCTCACCCAAGAGGAGGGGCACGGGTGTTGTCTCTGCCAGCACCTGGGCCTTCAGATACTCTGCAGCCTTGAAGCACTTGCTCATGTGGATCATAATTACAACTGTGTTTTGATGCAGGCCATCGTTCTTTCTACATATCTGGAGATGGGCACAGTGGAGCTCAGGGGCTGCTCTGCCGTGGAGCTGGGTGCTGGCACAGGGCTGGTGGGCATAGTGGCTGCCCTGCTGGGTGAGTGTGCTGTGCTGGCTAACCTCTTTGAAAGGTGCATCTGATCTTGTTAGCACGATGCCCATTGGTAATCCCCCCCTTACCTGGTTAATTCCCTTTGTGCTCTCAGGTGTCGGCCAATTGTGGTGCTTTTAACTCCTGTGGCTATTTCTTCTCTTTTTCTCTCGACCTGTTATTTATCCTTCTCCTGGGAGATTGCCTTGGTCCCTTTAATTCTATAATGCTGATATTATAATCTTAAGGTTGCTTTGATTTCAAGAATATAAGCCCATCTATAAATTCCTTTAGTCTAAAGTGCTTACGAGGTGGTTGGATTTAAGTTGGTGAGGCAATGCCTTTTCCTTCATTAATTGCCGAGGAAACTGCTGGCTTTTCTCTTCTGGGTAGGATCAGCTCCTCTAAAATCTGTGTCATCTTATTTTAAAACATTTTATTAATAATCCAAGTATGGTGGCACATACCTATAATCTTAGTACTTGAAAACTGGAAAAAGAGGATCATGAATTTGAGGTCAGCCTGAGGTGCATAGTGAAACCCTGTCACAGAAAATTATGTAAATAAAATTATATATTAAGGGCTGGGAAGGTGGCTCAGTGGCAGAGCGCTTGCCTTGCATGCCTGAGGCCCTGGGTTTCGATTCCTCAGCACCACATAAGCAAAAAGAAAAAAGCCGGAAGTGGCACTGTGGCTCAAGGGGTAGAGCGCTAGCCTTGAGCTGAAGAGCTGAGGGACAGCGCCCAGGCCAAGAGTTCAGGCCCCATGACAGACACCCCCCCCAAAAAAAAATTAACAGTCTATAATTCTGAACTGATATATTTTCTTTTTTTCTTCCTTCCCTTCCTTGCTTTATTTTCTTCCTTCCTTCATTCCCTTCCTCCCTCCCTCCCCTCCCTTCCTTTCCTTCTCTTCCCCCTCTCCTCCCCTTTTCTTCCCCCTCCCCTGCCCCTTCCCTGCCCCTCTGCTCTTCCCTTCCCCTCCCTCCGTTTGTTTCCCTGCCCTCCCTCCCTTCCTCCCCTCCCTCCCTTCCTCCTTCTTTTCCTTCCTCCCTACTTCCCTCCCTCCTTCCTTCCTTCCTTCCTTCCTTCCTTCCTTCCTTCCTTCCTTCCTTCCTTCCTTCCTTCCTTCCAGCATTGGCTGGTCTGGAATATATGACCCTCCGGCTTCAGCTTTTCAAGTGCTTTGATTATAGTCATTAACTTTTGTTATTTTTATTTTTAGTTTGTTATATAACCATTAATTGAGGTCTTTGAGAGTGTGTGTCACCATGTTGGCTAGGATACCTAGAATTCATGATCTTTGTATCTCAGCCTCCCAAGTAGGATTACAGACATGCAGCACTGGTATGGAAGCATCATCTCTAGCCAATCTAGAGCATTTTAAAATCTTTCTATTTTTATTATTTTCTGTTAAGTTCTTCCTACAACTTCTGACTCAAGACAGTTTGAGGTATCCAGTGAGAAGTGTAGACTAATTTTTTGCTAGCACTGGGGCTTGAACACAAGGCTGCGGTGCTGTCCCCGAGCTTCTTTTTGCTCAAGACAAGTGCTCCACCAATTGAGCCACAGTACCACTTCTGGCTTTTTCTGAGAAGCTTATTGGAGATAAAAGACTCATGGACTTTCCTGTGCAGGCTGGCTTCCAACAGAAATCCTCATATCTTAGCCTCCTGAGTAGCTACAGGTGTGAGCCACCAGCACCTGGCTAGACAAGCTTTTAAGATCTTTTAAGAGTCTTCCTAATATTGCCCTCTGGGCTCTCATTAACAGTGTAGTTTCTGATTCAGAGGCTCTGGAGTGGGCCCTGAGAGCTTTCTTTTGAGACCACCTTCCAGGCTAATAACTCAGCCTTGATGGTACTCCGACCACATTGGTGTTAAGGCCCTCGATTCCCCGAGTATTTTGAACCCATCACATTGTGTTACAGGCATTTCAGGAGCCACAAAAACCTCTTATTCTCCCCAGGTGAGCCATATCATGTTCTATGCATATTAACGATTAGGCTGTAGATTTACAGTCGCGCATTCTCATAGTAACCCTGCATTTGGTAAGTAGATCTGAACTACTTAAAAGTTCTTTTCAAGTAGTGAAATGGAGGATTAGCAGAGAGTAAAGTAACTGCCTAAGGCCACAAACTAATGGAATGTGGATGGCATATGAAAATGGTTCTGCTTCTCAATTTGGAAATCTCCCTAGCCTTTGAGTTTCTTCAAAACAAGATTTTGTAAGTTGGGTTGGAATTAGGGAATATGGACATGCATATGGTTATGCTGTTAGGTCTTTACCCAGTCACCTGTCTCCTTGATCCTTTACACCAACCTGCTTACCTCTGGATGTTTCATGCTTCTCTTTCCTGCTCTATTTTCTTAAATCTAGCTTGGATCATCAACTAACATTCTGGATATTCTTCTTTTAAAAAACATCTCGTCAGGTATTCATGCCTGTCATTGGAGCACTTGGGAGGCATGGCAGGAGCAGCTCAAGTTTGAAGCTACCCTGGGCTCCATCCATGTGAAAATCCTGTGTTCAGAACAAAACAAACAGAAACAACATTAACATTTTTGTTGCTATGTCCTTGTTTGAATGTCAGGTCTATGGGGCTAAGTTTTTCATCCTCTGATTGATGGTGGCTTCCAGTAGAACCAGTGAGTTTATAGGGAATGGTCATCTGACATTAAGATCCTGTTCAGACTTCTGAAATACCTGGGAAGTTAAATGACCTCTGAAATCATGCAGATGGGTATTAGAATGAATACTCAGATGATGGTTGCAAGATAGATCACTCCAGTATTGCCAGCAGAGTGCTCTGTGGACTGTGAAATCTGGAGATAAAAGTTCTTAGCCGCACTTAGAAAGGCTGTCTGTAATTTTCATTGACAGAAGAAGTAGAATCTCTCATTTATTTCCGCTTATTGGGTAGTAGTACATTGCCTGGCAGTGGTCAGAGCGGTGGGTCCAGGGTTGAGTGCTCTGACAGCTTGAGTGTTTCAGCTGTATCACAGACTCCATGGCATGCTGTCATAATCTTACATGTCAAGATAAGGAAACACTGGGCATAAGCTGCCGGTGGAATGGTGCTGAGCTGTTCCAGAATCTTGTGGGAGATTAGAGACTAAAAAGAAATGCAAATAATTGAAAATACTGTTGTTTTGTTTTGGTGTAGTGTCCTTTTGAGAGTGTCTTACTATGTTGCTTTAGCTGGCTTCAAAATTTACGGTAGCCCAGGCTGGCCTTGAACTCTCTGTCTTGCCGCTTTATCCTTCCAAGTGTTGAGATACAGTCATTCACCATATCCAATAGAGAAAAACTTTTATGAAAGAAAGATAAATTTGAATTTCTTGGGCTTAATAGGATTATATTTTATGCTTGAGTATATTAGGTCTGATCTTACATGGTTTCCTTAGCTTCAGAGTAACTACAGGTCAGTCTCTTCATCCATATTGGTTCAAAATTAGATATTGCTGGTGGTGGCTCAAGCCTATAATCCTAGCTACCTAGGAGGCTGAAACCTGGAAGATAGTGGTTTGAAGCCAGCCTGAACAGAAGAGTCTGCAACACTCTATCTCTAAAAAGCCAGCAAAAAGCCAGGCTGGCAGTGGTGGGCAAGAAAGTCAAGTGCAAGGCCCTGATGTCAAATCCCAGTACTAGCAAAAAGAAAAACAGATAATTGTCACCAACCTATAAGAAACAGGTTAATAAAATATGACTTCATTAATTGTTCAGTACTGAATGTAGAAACTTAAATAAACAAACTTACCTGAAAATTATACAGTAATTCAGAAGAAATTATATATATTATATATATTACATATACTATATAATATGTAAATTCCATAAACCCACATAAGTTGGCTGGTTCAAAACAGCTTAGGGACAGGTTGTGGCATTCCTTAGGATCTGAACTGTGATTCTGTTTTAAACCTACAAAGCTGTTTCCCCCTTTTTGGTATCTGCTTAGTAATTATATTCTGCTAACAGAATTTTTCATTCTTGAATTCTGTTTTACCTAATGGGTAAAGGGTGGGTGCCCAATTCAGAAGCCTCAGCCTGGGTCAGCTGGAGACTAATTTGTGAGTACAACGTCAGCAAACAGCTGGACTGTCATAGTGGCAGATGCCACGGCTCCTTTTGCCAAGAGCCAGTGCAGAAGTCACTGCCTGCCAGCCACTGCTGGGACATGGTGAGCTCCACAGAGGGCACCTGCTATCAGGTGGAATACTCACATGCTCTCGGTGGTTAACCTGACCCCCTCTCTCCCTGCAGGACTTGCATTGATATGTCCATTACCTTTTCTTTGTCCCCCATTGTAGGTGCTCATGTGACTATCACCGATCGAAAAGTAGCCTTAGAGTTTCTTAAATCAAATGTTCAAGCCAACTTACCTCCCCATATCCGAACCAAAGCAGTTGTTAAGGAGCTGACCTGGGGCCAGAATCTGGGGAGTTTCTCACCTGGAGAATTTGACCTGATACTTGGAGCTGATATCATATATTTAGAAGAAACATTCACAGATCTTCTTCATACACTGGAATATCTCTGTAGCAATCACTCGGTGATTCTTTTAGCTTGCCGAATCCGCTATGAACGGGATAATAACTTCTTAGCGATGCTGGAGAGGCAATTTACTGTGAGTAGGGTTCACTATGATTCTGAAAAAGACATATATATTTACAAAGCACAGAAGAGAAACCAAAAGGAGGACTTATAGGTGGCTGCACTCTGTAAGAATGTTGTCAAAGAGTGTGTCTTAGACTCTAATGAAATAGCTTCCTGCACTAGTCTCTGTCCAAAGCTACTCAAGGGACAAACCATGTGGACAAGTTTTTGTTGTTTGTTTCTGGCAGGATTGGGGTTTGAAATGATTTACACTTGCTAGGCAGTACTTTACCACTTAGCTACTCCTCTAGCCCTTTTTGTTATTTTTCAGATAGGGTCTTAGGGTTTTTGCTCAGGGTTCGCGTTAGATAGCGATCCTCCTGTTTAGTTAAGATTGCAGGTGAGTGTCACTACACTTGGCCTCATACTCACTTATTTTTTCTTTTATGTTCCAGTACTATGGCTTAAATTCAAAGCCTCACCCTTTTGCTTAGCTTTTTCACTCATTGATGGTGCTCTACCACTTGGGCCACACTTCTACTTTGGGATTTTTGCTGGTTAATTAGAGAAAAGAGTCTTGGGGATTTTTCTGCCCAGGATGCATTTGAACTGTGGTCCTCGGATCTCAACCTCCTGAGTAGTTAGGATTATAGGCATGGGCCACTGATGCTGGCCATGTAACCCCATTTCAAAACAAGGCAGTGCTTGTTCTATGCCGTCACTTTCAGTGATATTTTACTCACTCTGGAATTGGATTCACATTAAATGAAAATGAAATATGGGGATTTTTTTTTTTTTGGTCAGTTGTGGGGCTTACAAAGCCTGGGTGCTGCTTCTGAGCTCTTTTGCTCAAGCCTAGTGCTCTACCACTTTGAGCCACAGTGCCACTTCCTGTTTTTTGTTTTTGTTAATTTTAATTTTTTATGCTGTGTTGGTCCCTCTTGGTGTTCATCGAGATGTAATGAGGGGCTGGTATGTAGCTGTCTTTAAACTAGTGACTTGGCATTGGTAAGGTTAAGTCACATAACTTACTTTAAACACATTTTGAGATGGTATTTGTATTCCAGTTTTCCAGTTTTCTGAAAATTGAGATTTAACATGTATTTCCTGACTTAGTGCTGTTGAAATATTTTGCCTTTTTTAAGCCTCAAACACTTGTTTTTGTTTTTTTCGATTAGGATGTGAGTGTTCTAGTCTCACATTATGCTTTTTTGCTGAATTTCAGGTTTAGCCATATAAACAAAGGAATGAATAAAACTAAAATTTTAGATTTGAAAGTACCTAAATTCTTGGAGTAGAGTAAGGTGTCTTTAAGTCCACAGCTATGGTTTTCCCCTTCCCTTTTGCCGTTTTGTACATTTGTACATTTGTACATTTGTAAGGGGTTAGTTCCCCCATGTTAAGTTCCTCCCTTATTCTGCCTACAATTGCTCATCAGTGCCAGTATGCACAGTAGCAAGCTCAAGCTTCAGAAGACCCAGTGCTCCTTCCTCTTCCACTGTTGCTTTCCACATGCAGTGTATCTTAACCAAACAATGAAAGAGATATGCCCTTAAGAGGGCATTAATCACTTTTGTCTTTTTTGGTTCTGGGGTATGGAACCTAGGGTCTTCCTTGCTCTAGGCAGGCACTGAGCTACATCCCCAGCCAGAGAGTCTTTGGACTAGATGATTGCTACATTGCTTTGTGATTATCTTTGGTAGATTGTATGAATGTGGTCATGTATGAACTTTTACATAGCAGCTTAAACAAATCTAGCCCACAGGAGTCCTGTAATCCCATTATGGTATTTGGTATGAGAGAGATTTGTTTTGCTGAATATTAATGACATCTTTTTTAACCTTTTAGTGAATATTTTGGATGTGAGAATATCCAGTGATGTTATTTTCTACGTTGCAAATAGTTTAATAAAAGTGAACTGAAAGTTGTGAGCATTCTGTGATGTACTTGTTTAATACAACTATGGTCAATGCACATGAACTGGAAGTGTCCATACTTACTGCAAAGTGCCAGTATTGTACCATAAACATGGATGATCTTGGAAAACAATTCAAATGAAAACTTCACTGGCATTCTAATGAAAACCCAGTCTCATTGAGCTGTTATTAAAAATGATATATCAGTTGTTCAGTTCCTTCATTTGAACATCTTCAACTTTGGAAGTTAGGTCTATTTTAGTGGGGTGGGGTGAAGGTGGGGATTCATTGACTCACCTAGATATTAAGTGTAGAAGCTACTGGGTTATATATTTCATTTTTATACCATATTGACTAAGAATTAAAAAGATGTTTTTTCCCCCTGCTTTTGTTCTACAAATAGAACACGCACAAAAGTAAATCATCAGGAATACGTTGTCTAAGTGACAATGACCTTTTATTGGCTTCCAGTTTGGGATGTTATTGCAGGCCAGATTCCCATAGGAAATAGGCTGAGATGAGGATTAAGGTGCAGAAGTTTCAATGGGAATGTTCCCAGGATTGACAGGGAGAGGGAGGGAGAATCAGGCTGGGATCCTGTTGGGAGAGAGGGCTGGGAGGGCCTCTGCAGTATGGCCATTTTGAGTCCCCAGTGGGTATCAAAACTATCTGGAGGACACAGGCGAGTCACCAGCCCCATGAGGAGGGGAATGAACAAGGTTTCTGAATAGCACATCATTTTTTAAAAAAAAATTATGTCAAAAGTACTAATTCATCCTATAAATGTATATTTTAAGTGAGTATCTTTTGTTCTTGTTAAAAATAGCTAGCCCAGCCCATTTTACTAAGCTCGACTCTCACAGTGCTTTCGAGTCATGTAATCCTGTATTCAGAAGTAACTTCTCCCCACTGGTATCAAATATTGCCCCCGAGATGTTAAAATCTGCCATACCACCATACATAGAATTCCACTAGAAAGAGTACTGACACTTTCTCAGATTACCTCTAAAAGTGTCTTGCCTTCTTCGATCATGAACTATCCAAACCCCCTATATACCAGACTTTCTAGCAGCATGTTTCTTCTACATAAGGACAGAATTCTAGTCCAAAGTACTACTTTGTGGGTGTGTGTGTGTGGAATAACAGTCTTGAATATTTATTTTAGCAGAGATTCCTTTATAGATGACTGCCCTTCTTGAATTGCCTATCTATCTTCTTGTCCATGGTATTTCCCTGAGAAACAGATTCTTGGATACATTAAAATGATAAGAGTATGCTCTCAGTAAAAAATAAATAATAGCCATGGGGCTTAAACTCTGCCTGAGCACTGTCCCAGAGCTCTTCAGCTCAAGGCTAGTGGCCCTACCACTTAAGCCACAGCACCACTTCTGGTTTTCTGGTAGTTTATTGGAGATAACTCGCATAGATTGACTGGGATCCTCAATCTCAGCCTCCTGAGTTAGCTAGAATTACAGGCGTGAGCCACTGGTGCCCTGCTAAAATTAATTTTATGATTCATTTGCCTCCAACAATTGGTACAATTTAATTGGTATACATGTGGCGGTGCTGGGATCAAGGCCAGGGCCTTATGCATGTGAGGCAAGCATTCCGCCAGACATCCCCTGATCCTAATTGCTGTACTTCATTAAGGGAAACTTGGTCACAATTGGTTTGTTCCCCAGAACCCTCAGAGAGAAATAGCACTTTTAAGTTCGAGGTAAGTCACTGTAGTGAGCATAGGAATGAAGACTGAGTACTTGTGTGTGAGCCTTAAAACATGTGAAGTCGGACAAAAGCCATACATCATGGTATGATTATTTGAAACATCCAGAAACAGAAAGCAGATTGATGGTTTTAGTGGGAAGAAGCAGCGAGGAATTAACTTTAAAAGGATTCAAAGTTTAAGAACAATGAAAATATTTGGGTTTGGGGGCTGGGAAGGTGGCTCAGTGGTAGAGCACTTACTTGCCTTGCATGCATGAGGCCCTGGGTCCAATTCCTCAGCACCACATAAGCAAAAAGAAAAAAAAGCCGGAAGTGGTACTGTGGCTCAAGTGGTAGAGCACTAGCCTTGAGCTGAGGGACAACGCCCAGGCCCAGAGTTCAGGCCCCATGACCGGACCCCCCCAAAAAAATATTTGGGGTTCAGATAGATGGGACTTCACCACTGAATCATTCACTTTAAAAACAAACAGTTTAGCTGTAGTCCCAGCCATCTGGGAGGCAGAGATAGGAGGATCATGGTTTGTTAGACTAGTGAAGTTAGTGAGATCCATCTCAACCAACATTTGGGTGTGATGGTGCATACTTGTTATCCCAGTTTTGCTTGGGTTAGTGTAAATAGGACAGTAGTATAGGCCTACTTAGGCAAACAAGTTAATCTCCAAAAAAATAATGTAACGAAAACAAAAAGGATTGCAGATGCAGCTCAGTGGTGGTGTGCCTGCCTAGCAAGTGCAAAGCTATTCAAATTCCAGTATTCCAAGAAATAGTAACAATTTGTCAACTGTGCCTCAAAGAGCAGAAGTACCATGCACATCCTTGAAAATTACCCTTCCCTTTCACGAAGATGTGGAGGAACTGAACTGCAATGAGCAAGGGAGGAACTGATTAAGGCAGTTGCTTTTCTGGGCTTCTATAAATAATTTAGTTAACAATGGTGCCATTTACAAGATGGAAAAAGCCAGCTGAAGGAACACAGTGAGAAATTGGAAGTTCTGTTTGGGATGTGTTTTTGCAGTCAGAGTGGTAAAAGCTGAGTCTATAATTCAGCGATGGGAACTTAACATTATATAAAAATATACTCTTGGATGTCAAGTTCTTGTGAGACAGTTAGGGAAGGTATGATTGTCCACAAGGAAATGTTCTCATAACCTGACTTACGTAACTAATCCCCGTTTTCACCTTCATAATAAAAAAAAAATTGAGAGATTTTTGTCCCCCTAGTGCCAAGTGTGTTCTCAATAAATTTGTCTACTGACAGCAAAGATATGCTGATTCTCCTGGAGCTCCAGGCACATGAATGTGGCTGGCCAGTAGAGACCACAGGTTCCCCCATGTCCAGCACAGTCCTGGTTTGTTGTCCATGAAACTGATACTACCCCAAAGGAAAGGGAGATCCATAAAATTCTTTCAATAAAGGCTTAATAAACACATCTGGGCAGTTACAGAAAAAAACAGATTTGAGAACAAATATGACTGCTTAAAACTTATTTCAGAATAGTAAAGGAATGCTTTATTCTTAGAATTTAAGCAAAATTTATGAATTGCTCCCTCCCTCCCACGGTTCCGTGTACAGCCCAGCTTGGCACTGCATTTTCATCCTTTCGCCCCGCCTCCGCCTCCGGAGTGCTCAGACTGTCAGAGTACACAACCAGCCCTTGAAGTCCCTTCCATTTTATCTGATAATAGAGACCGCTAATGGGTCTTCACTGGTTTAACAGTGTCTTCCCATCTTCAAGTAGGCACTGTTCTTTCTTACTGAAAAATCTTGTGCTAAAAATTAGGAGGTTACTAAAATTAAGTAACTAAAGATAGGTTCTTGTTGCATGAACTGCAATTTTCAACTGCTGTGCAACACAAGCTTGGGATATAGTCAATATGCTTTTGCTCACTTAACAAAACAAATAAACAAGAAAATATGGCTTAACAATACTAGCAAGAAACAAGGAGATCCCATCCCCAAAAAAGAGACTTACAGTGTTTTTAAAAGCAATGTTTATGTGACTGCACATAAATGTTTGTGTAAAAAGGGCATTATGACAGTTGATACCACAAAGATTACAGTAAGAAAAAGCACTTTATGACAATATATCACAAATTCACAAGGATCACTTCAATATACAAAGCAATCGCTACCATCCTGAACACAAAGCAGCTAATATATGTACATGGTGTTCATAAAATGCATTGTAACCCAGTACATTTTCTTCCTTTACACATAAAGCACAGAAAGTTTTTGGTTAAAAAAAAAAGATCAAAACAGGGACGTTTCTAGAATGTAGGGAATTTTATTAGAAATGTATTTCCTTCATTATAGTTCCTTATTTAATATTCAACTCTAACAGAAATATCAGAGTTAAAAAAATTGATACCCTGTTTTGTGCTGATAGTTTTGGGGGAGGCATTCTTAACCCCTGACCTCAAGGAAAAATTCAAAAGCCAAACACCTTTGGAGGAACTCCCCTGGTTATTTTGTTGCTAAGAAGTTTCAAGTGACACATCTGGTTAGAAACAATTCTTTTTGCTGGAGGGGGGGATGGGGGTGAGGGAAGACTATAGCTACTCTGTTATAAATCAGTCAAGGACAACTTTACAAGGGAAACTGCTAACCAGGGCTTCTTTGTCATCCCTAATAAATCTATACTCACAGTAAAATGCTGAAAAATTATTTTCCACTTTCAATATAAATAATTTTTATTACATACACATTGGAGTGGCACCTGGATAAAAATATGTCTATAAAGCATTTACCAATTCAATTTTAAAACATAAGAAAATAAAACCTCCCAAACACAATGCTTGATCATTTCATATGGCCAACTAACATCAAATTATTCCCTGCAGGGATTTTCTTCCTCCTCTAACAATTTTTACCCATCTCAGGTTGACTGTGACCATCTCCAAGATGCTCATCACACGGAAGCTTAGAAATGCCATGCTTCTATAGCCAAGTATTAAACAATGCCTGGAAAGTAGGTAAAATTTTAATTTGCTTGACCTTTCTCAAGCCATTTCTTGTAGATTGTTCGTTTCCTTTTACTTGCTGGTGAGAATAATTTAAAATGCATGTTTTACTTAGCTGGGACCTGCACCCACAGTGCCAGAATGTGGACCGGTCATTATTTTCCTCTCTGTGCTAAACAACTCTGCCTGTTTTTTTTTTTTTTTTTTTTTTAATTGTCAACTTGCTTTACAGGCTTTGTTCTATTTTTTTTTTAATTTTTCTTTTTTTAAAAAATAAGTTTCAAGCTAAAACACCTGAAATATAATTCCTCCGTTAGAATGTTATCTGGTCCCTCTTTGAAGTTTGCCCCCTGAGGATGCATACAAAGGCTTAAGCTACATTCACTCATCAATAAGAACATATCATAGGAGATGAGACAGATGGAACTTCAGCACCCTGTTTGATTTGTTTGAAATTCTTCCATACTGACTCAATTTCCTGATAGGTTCAACCCCTCAAGGATTTGCCTTTTCTTAGCCATTGGTTCTAGAAAGTCAGGAAAACCAGTTCCTAGTACATACAGTGACTTATGTAGTCAACTTAAAAAAGAAGTCAACATTATTAACAATAAAAGTAATCAAGATGTGAGCCGTCCAACAAAAAGTTCTGGTTGTGCTTTGTACAGCTACTGAGTGAATAAACATATCACAATTCTTCACTTATAGGCTTTCTAAAGCATATGTCCTCATCTATAACCAAACTTCATCGCTTTGATGTAATAAAGCCAATATAAAATGAATTTAGTAAAAAACGATTATTATATGTAGTCTCCCATGATGATAATAGCTATATGCTTTTAAAATCTTACTACTGTGGAAAAATTAGTAATTATTTGGAATACTATTACTGTGGTGAGGATAAAGTTTCATTTGAAATAAGGATTGATACTTTGAGTTACTTTTTTGTTGAATCATTATTCATGATAAAAGTTTGAGTCCATCTTCTGATTATCTGGGCTAGTCAAATCTATTATCTAGATTTTTTTTTTTAAAAGCTTTTTGAAAAGGGGATAGGGTAGAAGAGGGGATGTTCTGGGGTTTGAACTTGACATTGAGTTTGCTATCAGGCGCTTTATCATTGAGCCAGACCTTCAGCTCCATTTATATGCTGGTTATTTTGCTTCCTGCCTGGTTGCATACCTGGACTGATCCTGCATTTGTCATCACGCCTAGCTATTGATTGATAAGGGTTCTCAGGAACTATCCTGCCTGGGTGGGTTGGCTTTGAGGTGTAAGCATTCAGTCCCCCAAGCAGATAAGAATACGGGCATAAACCAACAATCCTATCAACAGTTTAAAGGCTAGCTTTTAGGTGCTAATATATATAAATCAACAAAAAGCTTCTATTAAAAAAAGTCATATCTGAAGAGAAAAAAAAAAAAAGACCAAAAAGTCAATGAATTGGTTAGGGGACTTGATAAGTTGCTAAGACCCACACTAGGTCATTTTTAAAAGTGCAAGTTACACCAAACATTTACAAATATTCATGTAAATAAAATCCAAATAAATATACAACTTTTGTATTAGGTAACAGGAAATAATATACCAACAGTTTTCAGCATTACAAATGCAACAAAATAAACTCCTCGAAATTATTGAAAAGGCATGTAACCACTGTTTCTAATTACATTAGCCTTTATTCCTGCAAAATGAAGCAGTCTTTGGTAAGCAACCAATTTATGTTAATAGATGACTGTAACTGAACACTCAATTAAAAATTAAGTCAAAAAGAATACATCTAGACTGAAGTCACTACAAGTAAGTAAAAGCATTCTGGTTTATACAAACTTGTTTCCAAGCTCTAAGCCTTTGTATGATTCCACCCAAATGGTCAAGAAGATAGTAGGGAGCAGTCCTGAGAGGCAGAGATAAAACTTCAGCCAGATGACTATTGATTGGAAAGCCTGCCTGACTGGTATTGTGCTTCTGGACACTAGCACTGCTGCGGGCCTACCTCAAAACACATTGCCTGATAAATCCCTGCGCAAATCAAACACCAAAAGTTCCTCCCCTGGATGATTTTTGAAAAATCAGTGGTTCTTTTAAAAAGCTCTCTTCAAAATGTTCTTACCAGTATTGTAGCTGCCAGAGACAAAGCAGAAAACCCAAATATTTTGTTTTTGGTGGGAGTGGGGAAGTTTTCAAATGACTAGTAAAGTATTTAAAAGCATCCAAGTAAACTAATAAAAATGCTTGGAAAAATTTAGAGCTATAAGTCAATCATGAGTGATGGAGAAATGCAGTCATTGAAACTAGCAGAAGGGATGCAATAGAACACACAAAAATGTAAAATTTCATCTGACCTCAATATACTATAATACTCAGCATTCCTGACTTAGGAGCTCTCAGAGCTTTAGATTATATACTGTATGTATGTATATATGTACACATATATTATACAAATGCCATTTCCCCAACCCCACTCCCAAGAGAATCTAAACAAACAGCACCTATGACAAAATTACAGTTGCCAATATGGTACTTGAGTTTGAAAAAGAATGAACTTATATCTCATCAAATTTTTAATAATGTGAACACATTGAACCTAGCCCTTTCTAAGCCACTTTTCAGTTAAACACTATCAGAGCTTGACAACTCAGAGAAATATATCAAAAATAAACCCCTCCCCACTTCATTTTTATTAGTTAATCTGTCCTATAGATAAAAGTGCCACATGGCCCTATATTTGCAAAATGAGCAATATCAAACTTATTATTTTCTAGGCAAATCAGTAGCATATATACAGATTCCTATGATGACATTTTTATTCCCTTTTGGCCAATAGGAAGAGAAAACCTTACTTACAATGTGGCCATAATTTCTTGGCTGCAAGATTTAAAATGTCATTTTAAAAATAAAGATTCTCCAAGTAATAAGCTTAAAAACAAACATATTTCTTCTATCTCTCACATTAAAAAAAAACCCCACAAAAAACCTGGACAAATGCTGCTTGATTTCTATCTGTATAAACTGAAATCTTCAAGTCTCTCCAAAGGCCTAATGCAGATTTAGCAACATCATACATTTGTTACCTTACTGTTAAATAACTGACTTCAAACCAGTGCAGTCATCCTGAAGGTATAAAGGACCAAGTCTTTGTAACTTAGAAATCCATTCAGCTAATAGAAATGTGATTGCCTTGATTTATCAGGGACTAAAAGATACAACCTTCCTAATTAAGTAGAAAGCCTCAACTTTTGGGAAAAAAACCCCCCACAACAACAACATAGCTTTAGAGATCATAAATTGCTATATACAAGCAATTTTTCACTTAAAACATTGACAGCTGACATTTTGATTCAATGTAAAATAAGTCCAGATTGTGAAACAGATATCCTTTTACTTGGTTTGTGTAGAACCAAGTTTAGAAATGACATAGCTATCCTGGTAACAAGCAATACTTATGCTATCACTTTCTCCACTTGCTCAGCAGGACAAACATCAAACTTTACAGTTGTTTGAAAGCCTTCTTGAGAATCTGGTGAACTGTCCAAATATAAAGACTACATCACTCAATTCTTAGAATGATGCTCCTTCATAAACTCTGTTCATCCTTGAAAAAAGACAATGGTCTGTTACAAACAAAAATATAACATTTATAAATATTAATTTAAACTTACTTTAAAAAATAAACCCAATAACTCACTCTGTATGCTTTGTTATGATAAGCAAACTTCATTTCCTTAACCCATGACTATAAAACATTTCTTATCAAATTTCTTGACTTTTAAAAAATGAACTTCCTTCTTCAATGTGGAAGTTTAATGTCATATTATGCCATCTCCAATTTTAAAAATCCACCTTGGTTTTCTTTTAAAGGATAACATTTAGATTTATCAAGCTTAGTGAATATAATGAACAACTAATTAAAATGTTATTAGAAACAAAGATGCACACATACGCAGGTTCTTATCATCAGCAATTAAAACAGGTAACAAATAGCAAGGCTCTATGGAATCATATTGGAAAGCTAAAGCATTTAACTACCCTTTTTAGAAAAAAGGCAAAATGAAGTACAGTAGACATTCAAATATGTGTGGTGAAATTACTTTCTTTATGCACACCTAACGCTGTATTTTTTAGAACCAGAGGCTTATATACTTTATTTAAAAGATTCATTAGAGATTCTCTGATTAAAATATGCTAATATGGAAAAGATTTAAAATCCAGTATTTTACTATAGCAAATAAATAAATGATTTTGCTTTATTTTACATCTTGAAGACGTTTCTTGTTGGTGGCACAACGTAAGTGCAAAGGACAACAGTTAATTAGAAGTATTTTTTAAAGTAAATGAGTGACAATATAAATAATTTTGAAGGCAAGGAAAAAAACTTTTATTTAAAAACCTTGTTATGTAACTCAAGGATTCATTTCCTAGTCGGCATCCTTTTACTAAGATTTAGTACTAAAATAAGCTTTGCATCTTTACTTCAATTTAATTTAAAATTCAAATACCATGCTTTTTCATTCAGTTGGTTACTTCTTTTAATGTATTCAAAAATACTGAACACATACAGAACTGAAGTAAGAAGCAACAACTGCCCTATGGAAGAGCTGTGGTTAATACAGGTTTTTAAGAACCAAGGAAAGTTTCAGTACTGAAAAAAACATACATAGGAAGTTCTTCAAATTCATTCTTAATTTTTTCAATGCCATATTAAAATTTGTTTAAAGGGTATGTCTGAACAATTCTACATAATTCACAAAAAGTGAAAACATGTCAATTTGGCAATCAACATTTCTTCATTGCACCTTACTTACTTTATGCATGCGGCCACACATTACTTCAGCTCAAGAGGCTGGGGTAACTCTGTCCCTAAGGCAATCAAGGAGCTCAGCACAAACCTTGAAATCATTTTTTAAAAAAGATTTCATTTTCATCATTTCCCCCAACAATTTACAAGTAAACAAATTATTACTTCTTGAGGAGGGTGGGCATTGGAAAGCAGAAGTCTTTTCATGATTCCTGGTGCTGAAAATTTCTTGAGGGGAGAAGTGGAGGCAGGTGTTGAAACATTCACAGTTTAATGCAAAAGCACAAATGAAGGAAATTCTGTAGTTGCTTCAGGCAGTTTTGCGCATAGAAAAAAAAGAAATGTTTAGAAAATAAAATGTTTATTTTGTCTTTCTGGTTGTGGCCAATCCAGTCCACTTGCCACCTGAACAGGTGAAAATTTAAATCCCAAATTAATCTGATTTGTGGCAGTAAAGGTCCTTAAGTGCTTTTAGCTCCTCAATCAGTGTCTTGTTTTGGTTTTCAAGCACTGCTACTCTGTTTTCTAAACATTTCACATATTCTTTCTTCTTTCTACGACACTCTCGTGCTGCTTCCCTATGAATAAAAAAGGACAGCAAAAATTATCCAAGTAATCTCTATCTCATTTCTTTTGGAGTAGAAATTAGTCAAAGGAATATTTTAGTACATATTAGTATATATTTTCTATATATTAGGCATTGGAACAGATAAACATAATTGATTTTATTTAATTTTAATATACTACAAAAACTTGAGCCAAACAAACATGCAAATAGATATTCACTCTGTTACCACTAGTCTTTATACTATTCACTAAAATGTTCTGTGTTATACCTATGTAACTTAAAATTCTATCTATATCAATAGGATAAATTTTAGTGGGGGAAAAAAATCCTTCAACAATAAAAAAAACTTGCAAACTCATTATTGTAGAACATTAAAAAAAATCTAACACAACTGCCTCTTCAATAAATAAATGCTCTTGGGACATGTAAAAATTAAATGTAATATAAATATAAATAATATAAAACCTAAAGTTACAGAGCTTTTTTAAGAAAATGGGGGGAGGGACAAAGGTTTCTAAAGATGGATTAGGTAAGGTTAACCTGAACAGGAGACTGAAATGGAACCAGGATATAATAAATAACAAATAGGCAATCTTCAGAACAAGAGAAGTAAAATCGTATTGGATGAAGGGTTAATATCCAGAACATATAAAGAATTTTAATAAGGGGCTGGGAAGGTGGCTCAGTGGTAGAGCGCTTGCCTTGCATTCCTGAGGCCCCGGGTTCAATTCCTCAGCATTACATAAGCAAAAAGAAAAAAGCTGGAAGTGGTGCTGTGGCTCAAGTGGTAGAGCGCTAGCCTTGAGCGAAGAGCTGAGGGACAGCGCCTAGGCCCAGAGTTCAGGCCCCACTACTGGACCCAAAAAAACCCAAAGAATTTTAGTTAATCAACAAAATATCCATACTGAATGGCATAGGAGTTACCGAGATATTTCTCTAGTGAAAATACACAAACAGTCGGGTGCTGCTGGCTCACATCTGTAATCCTAGCTACTCAGGAGGCTGAGATCTGAAGATCATGGTTCAAAGCCAGCCCAGTCAGATAAGTCTGTGAGACTTGAGCAAAAAAAGCTCAAGGACAGAGCTTAGGCCCCTGAGTTTAAGTCCTATGACAAACTGGGGAAAAAAAGAACAAGAAGAAAATACACAAATAGCCAATGAGCATATGAAAAGATATTCAACATTACTAATTATTAGGGAGATGCAAATAAAAACTGTAAGACATCACATTACATTCTTAGGATATCTATTATCAAAACCAACTTCCACCATCACCAGAAAATACTGATAAGGATGTTAGAAATTGGAACATTTTTGAACTGTTTCTGGGAATGTAAAATGGTATGGCTGTTATAGGAAACAAAATGGAATGTTTATTAAGAAATTACTAATAGAATTAGCTATATAATTATTAACCTCATTACTTAACAAAAGAACTGATTTAGTGATATATATTATATACATATAGATATACATGTGTGTGTGTGTATATATATATATATATATATACTGTGTACACAGCCGTACAAAAGCTAAAGGATAGAAGTACTTAAGTGTCATCAGTGAAGGAAATGACATACATACATACATAGAATGTAATATCTGTTATTCAGTCTTCAAAGGAAGGAAATCTTGACATATACTATAATATGGATAAACCTTGAAGACATTAAGTGAAATAAGCTAGTCCCACAAAGACAAAAACTACAGTTCTACTATCTAAAGTAATAAAGCATAGAAGTATAGAAGTATAGCTACTCACAGCTTGAGGAGGGGATGGGTATGGTTTAATGGGTACGAGATCTTCATCTTATAAAACTGAGTGTTACAACTGTGACCATACTTAACTACTATTGAACTAAAAAATAATTAGGATATTACATTTTATGTTATGTTGTATGTTTTAGCACAATTTAAAAGAAGTAACATTATTTAAAAATTTAACAAGTTAAAAACTTAATAAAAGATCATTTTTGGCAAGCTGAAAACTGTAATATAAACTTTAAAAAAATCTATGTGGTTAAATGCCCTACATTATGGTTCTTTTTTTTTGGTGTGTGTGGTCCTGGAACTTGAATGCAGGGCCTAGACACTAACCCTGAGCTTCTCTCTCAAGGCTAGCGCTCTACCATTTGAGCCACAATACAACTTCTGGCTTTTTCTAAGTAGTTTATTGGAGATAAGAGTCTCATGGACTTTTCTGACTGGGCTGGCTTCAACCATGATCTTCAGATCTCAACTTCCTGAGAAGTAAGGATAACAGTCGTGAGCTACTAGTACCTCAGCTTGTTTTTTTTTTTTTTAATTTTATTTTATTTTATTTGTGAACATACTGTACAGAGGGGTTACAATTGCGTGGGCAGGTTAATGCGTACATTTCTTACCAAGCATTGCAGCCTCCTCCTTTGTTTACCCTTCCCATCCCTTCCCAGCCTCCTCCCTCCCCCCCAATCCCAATCCTTCTCCTTCCCCCCTCCCCCCCTTCCCCCCCCCCCCACCGACGTTGTAAAGCTCGTTTTGGACATGACAACTTGTACTTCTCATTGTTGCATCAGACTCAGCTTGTTTTTATTTATTTATTTTTTGCTGGTCGTGGGGCTTGAACTCTGGGCCTAGGCGCTGTCCCTCAGCTCTTCAGCTCAAGGCTAGCGCTCTACCACTTGAGCCACAGCACCACTTCCAGCTATTTTTTTCTTTTTGCATATGTGGTGCTGAGGAATTGAACCCAGGACCTCATGCATGCAAGGCAAGCGCTCTACCACTGAGCCACCTTCCCAGCCCCGTTTTTTTGTTTTTGTTTTGAATATCTTCAGCCACTAGCACAGGGAATAGAACAAGGTAGATTCCTTATGGCTCAGTTGAAAGTAGAGTCTAAGTCTATATAAAACATAGCCATTTACAACCAATCATGCATTTACAAAAGTTTAAATTCTGCCAAGGTTGATCAATCTTATTTCTTTTCCTTTTCCTCTTTATTACCCAAGAATTTATAATCTGCAAGTAGAATCGACCATGTAAGCACTATGACTACATGTTTTCAAAGTTACATTAATATGATATACAGGTTAGCATCTTCTAAGATTGTTCCATTACAAATAGTATTATGAATATTTTAAATGTATGTTCCTCAAACATTGGGCTAAAACAATTAACTAGCTTCTTTAATGCAAGAATTCTTGGATCTTTTGAATGTACTACTGTAAACTGAGGATCTCCAAAGAGGAATTTCATAGAACACATTCTAAACTTAATTTGACTCTGTAATACTTTTGTGCCTGGGCTTTGAACTGGGATCCTCAGATCTCAGCCTTCTGAGTAGCTAGAATTACAGGAGTGAGCCACCAGTGTCCACCTTGCTTTTTTTTTTCTTGTTTACAAATAAAAAGAGAAATAAAAAGTACTCATCAACATGTCTCAAATTAATATATGTTAGGTTTGAATTGAGGCATATGCAAAACTAAGGAATAGAATTGGAGCCATTCTAAACCAACAATTTTAAATAAAGTCTAAACATTTAAATATTAATATAAATATCCTAATACAAAATTCAAATAAACCTCAAATGAAAGTTTTATAAGAACTTGTAGCTTGAAGACTGCCTCTAAACAGCTTCTAAAAATTCCTATGTAAATATACTTTAAGACTAAAGAGAATTAAAAGGATGTCCCCCACCCGCCACATCAGCGACTGAAGTGGGAATTTACATGTAAAGATTAAAATAACTTCTACTACAAGAAAAATACAATTCTATGATTCCAGTGCAAACAGTGACTTTACTTTTTTATGTATGCTTGTTGCAGTGTTTGGCCTAGGGCCATGCACTTGATCAGCTTGCATGTTCTCCAGCTCATCCTTCTGCTGGTTGTTTTGGAAATAGAGCCTTGAGAAGTTTTCTTTTTCTTTGGTCCAGTCGTGGGGCCTGAACTCTGGGCCTGGGCGCTGTCCCTCAGCTCTTCAGCTCAAGGCTAGCACTCTACCACTTGAGCCACAGCCCCACTTCCGGCTTTTTTTCTTTTTGCTTATGTGGTGCTGAGGAATCGAACCCAGGGCCTCAGGCATGCAAGGCAAGCACTCTACCACTGAGCCACCTTCCCAGACCCCCTTGAGAAGTTTTCTGCCTGAGCTGGTTTCAAACCATGAGCCTCCAGACTGTAGCCTCCTGAGCACTTAGGAGGATTAGAGTTAGGAGCCCCCAGTACCAAGCTATATGAATATTTTCAGAAAAAATTCTTTTACAAAGTAAAAAAAAAAAGTATTTTTAATTCTATATGATTTTCCTTTTCTCTTTGGTCTTCAAGTCTGTAAGAGTCTTAGCTTTGTATGTGTAGCACACCTATAACCCCAGGACATAGGAGGCAGAGGCAGGAGGATTGAAAGTTTGAGGCTGGCATGGATTACATAGAAAATTGCACTAAGACAGCTTAGGTTACAAGGTGAGACTCTGTCCCAAAAACCAACCAATCAACAGATTTGTACAAGTCTTTTCACTCTTCCCTGGCATGCATCATGTTAACTTAAAAGTAATGTGCCTTGGTCTGGCTTCTGCGACAACATCTGGAGAGTCTGAAAGAATATTACTCTTACCCTATCATACTGATAGAGAGGATTACCATAGGAGATAAATGGAAGGAGGAGATAAAAACCCATCCTCACTGGAGTACAGCTGTACGCCAGCTACACAATAATAAAAATAACTCCTTATAATTTTAAGTACAGTAGGTGAAAACTGATGAAGGCCAGAGTATGTAAGTTGGTAGGTCAATGCACAACCTCTGAAGACAATAGTAATTGTGTGCTTTTACAGGCTATGGCTCCATGAACCTGATAAGGCACTTGGACTGCAAAGAGGCCCCAGTATCTACTGTGGTAGACATTGAAGAAGAAAGAGCAGCTGAGTGGGAGAGACAAGAAACTAGGAACAAAAGATCTGTTAACAGCATTTACTAAGAGGCTACAATTTCTAAATATTTGTAATCACCCCAAAATGACTCACCTCTGAGATCTGATGTGGCTTAGGGAAATTAAGCTTGATAGGGAGCTAATGTTAAAATAGGAAAATTATTTTAGATTACTTTGAGAGAGTTTAGACTAAGCACAAGAGCTCTTAAAATTGGGAGGCAGAAAGCGATATTGCTATGGAAGAAAAACAGAGAAATATGCCAATGATGCTGACTTTGAAAATGGATAAAGTGGACCATTAACCAAAAAATGCTGGGTTCATCTAGAAGCTGGAAAGGGCAAGGAAGTAAATTCTTCTCTAGAAACTCCAAAAAGAAATATTATGTCCTATTTTTTTTTTTTTTTGGTCGGTCGTGGGGCTTGAACTCTGGACCTGGTCGCTGTCCCTCAGCTCTTCAGCTCCAGGCGAGCGCTCTACCACTTGAGCCACAGCGCCACTTCCAAAAAGAAATAAAGTTTTGCTGACATTCTCACTTTAGCTTAGGAACTGGTTCTTCCTAAGAACCATTATTCTGTAATCCAACTGGAAGATGACAGATTTGTTAACTTTTACTATTTAGAGAAAACTGTAAAGACACTACCAAAAAAAAAAAGATACCATAATGAACTAAATTTTGAGTGGTCATTAAATATAAAAGGTTAGTATGTATTTTTGGTATTCCTTCTGACATAAAATTCCTAAACTACTAGGAGTCTTCAAAATGTTGTCTTTTTGTTATATATATATATATATATATTTTTTTTTTTTTTCTTTTCTTCTTCTTCTTTTGGTCAGTCATGGGACTGAACTCTGGGCCTGGGCACTGTCCCTCAGCTCTTCAGCTCAAGGCTAGTGCCCTACCACTTGAGCCACAGCACACTTCTGGCCTTTTCTGCTTATGTGGTACTGAGGAATTGAACCCAGGGCAGTCTTTTTGTAATATTAATGCATTGAGCGATGGCTGGAAGTCCCTAGATAGCAATAAGAGGAAGACTAGCCCTCAGAAGGACCAAGGCATGATTTGGTGTGGTTCACTTGGAACTTCCAACCAATCACAGGAAGGGACAAAGGCTGAAGTCCAATAAATAAGGATTTAATGAATCATGTCTAGGTAATTAAGCTACCATAAAAATTCATGAAACTGAGTTGGGCGCCAGTGGCTCACGCCTGTAATCCTAGCTACTCAGGAGGCTGAGATCTGAGGATCACAGTTCAAAGCCAGCCTGGGCAGGAAACTCCGTGAGACTCTTACCTCCAATAAACCACTAGAAAACTGGAAGTGGTGCTGTGGCTCAAGTGGTAGAGAGCTGGCCTTGAGCTGAAGAGCACAGGGACAGCGGCCAGGCCCAGGGTTCAAGCTCCACGACCAACCCCCCCCCAAAAAAAATTCATGAAACTGGTTTGGAAGAACTATATAGCTATATTCATGGAGGCTTCCAGGAGAGTGTGAAACAACACACCTATAAGCCAGGAGGGTGGCACAGGCTAACTTCAGACAAAGTCTGACTTGCCCTTGCTCCTCACTTAGCTGTTTATAGCTTATAAAATATCCTTTATGATTAATAGTAAATACAAGTGTTTCTGTACTTAACAGCTGTTTTGTCAAATTAATAGAAATGAAGTCATGAAAACGATCAATAGCAGCTCAGTGAGCAACAGGCAAATAACCTGGGGCTTGCAAATGGCAAGTAAAAGGCAAGAGTGGCCTAGTGGGACCAAACCCTAAACCTGTGGGATCTAACATCTGTCAGAATTGTTTCTGAATCACAAGACACCCAGCTGGTGTTTCCTACAGCACTGATTGCTTATTTGTGTTTGTTACAGATGTATTTGGAGTGATAGTATAGGAGACACTGAATTTAATTTTTTTCCTGTATCCTCAGAGAAGCTAATGTTATTTCTATAGACTAGCAATGAGCTGCTTAGGAATTTCAGTACCACCCCTAAAACAAGAACCAAAGAGCCAGAATTATTTTGGTATAAATCTATCAAATTAAACAATATATCAAATTAAGAATATCAATTCTATACTTGATGTAGAGTTAGCCCAATCCTAATCAAAGCTCATTCTATAGACATTAACAAACTAATTAAAAAATCATGAGAATGCAAAACAATACTGTACATGAGAGGAGGACTCACACTGTCAAATTCAAGATTTACTAGGATGCTGTGATTTACTATGATGTTAGATAGCATAGCATTACTTAAAGACACACAGATCAGTGACTGTTGGCCCAGAAACAGACTCACATAAATATGATATATTAATTTTTCACAAAAGAGCAAAGGGAAAACTCTTGTTCCACAGGAGTGAAATACAGAGATATACTCTGAGTAATTTTGTTGTATTTATTTATTTGTTTGTTTTATTCATTGTGGGCTTGAACTCAGGGCTTGGGTACTGTCCTTGAGTTCTTTTGCTCAAGGCTAGTGCTCTACCACTTTGAGCTACAGCTCTACTTTCGGTTTTCTGGTGGTTAATTGGGGATAAGAGTCTCACAGGGACTTTTCTGCCCAGGCTGGCTTTGAACTGCAATCCTCAGACCTCAGCCTCCTGAGTAGCTAGGATTACAGGAATAAGCCACCAGTGCTCAGTTGTTTCTGTTTGTATAATCAAAATAATTTATTTTCTGACTGTCCTATTATATCTACTTAGAACTGTTTGTTTTAGTACGTGCTGTTGTTTTAAAAGTTTTTTTTTTGGGTCCGGTCATGAGGCCTGAACTCTGGGCCTGGGTGCTGTCCCTCAGCTCTTCAGCTCAAGGTTAGCGCTCTACCTCTTGAGTCACAGCGCCTCTTCCAGCTTTTTTCTTTTTGCTTATGTGGTGCTGAGGAATCGAACCCAGGGCCTCAGGCATGCAAGGCAAGCGCTCTACCACTGAGCCACCTTCCCAGCCCCGTTTTAAAAGTTTTATACCCAATATTTGCTTGAGATATTTTACATTACAAAAGGTTAGGCATTTTTCTTATAATTAATTTTCTTACATTAAATTTGAATGCACCTTTTACATTTCCATTTGGTGTTGGAGTTTATTTACTTAAAGTATTTGGAGCACAAGATAAAATAAAAGCTGCTGGGCTTCTTTCCAACTTTCTCCCTAATATTTCAGAATGGCTATACCATTTCTCATAGCTTAGATATAATTTATCAGCATTGTGACAGCTAAGAAATTATTTTAGGTACAAAGAGATAGATCAGCTGAAACACAAAGTTGCTTAAACAAGAAACTAACAGAGCATTAATAGTTGTTTTCAGGGGTATAATCTTACTTGACCATTAGAACAACATTTTAAGTGGGATGTGTGTGTGTTATTTTAAAAAAGGTGTTTAGGAATAATAGATTCTCCCAAAGTCACAGCTAAATGGGAGAGCTAAGACTTGAAGCTAGATCTTTCAAGTTCAGTTTTTGTTTCTTTCACTCTATCGCAGTATGTGAAGATTCTTGGGATGAACTGATTTCTAATTTTTTATATCATCATACATCTTTATTTTCACTTTTTTGTCTCGGTCATTGCCATACTCAAATCTTAAATATTTAGTAAGTTACGTTTGCCCTGTTTTAAACAGGCTAACTACTTACGGCAACAAAGTTACTTTCTGAGAATGACTTTACCCTTCCTATTTTTTGGTCAGCTGTGGGGCTTGAACTCAGGGCCTGGGCACTGTCCCTGAGCTCTTTTTGCTCTAAGGCTAGTGCTCTACCACTTTGAGCCAAAGTGCCATTTCCAGTTTTCTGGTGGTTAATTGGAGATAAGAGTCTCATGGACTTTGCTGACTGACGTGGCTTTGAACCATAATCCTCAGATCTTAGCCTTCTGAGTATCCATGCTTATAGCTGTATTTCATTTTGATAGGTAAAACTTTCATTGGACCAGATATCAGTGGCACACAAGTAATTCTAGCTACTTGGAAGGTAGACTTAGGGATCATGGTTTGAGAGTAGCCCAGATAAATAAGTTCTTAAGGCCCAAATAGCTGGATGGTATGTACCTATCATGGCAGCGAAAACTGAGATCAGGAGGATCATAGTCAGGTTAGCCTGGGCAAAAAGTCGTAAGATTCTGACATGATGGTACACACCTGTAATCCCAGATACAGCATAAATAAGAGGACTAGGATCCAGGATGGCTCAAGCAAAAAGTGAGACTCTATCTCAACAGTAACCAAGCAACCTCTCCAATTTCATTGTTGAGAACTATATCTATTTTAAAATTTTGTTAGTAAACATGGTATTCCTATTAATGTAATTTCAAAGAATCTTTTGGTGTTAAATTATCATTCTGAATAATGAAAATATTAAAACATAAAGTGGCATTATACATTTATTTATTAAAGATAAATTTAAGGTAAATTTAACATTTAATATTAACACACCTATGAAAATTACTTCATAATTAAAAGACTAGCCCACAATTTCATTTTATAAATGAGAAAGTTTCAGGGTGATCATTTCTATTGGAAAAAATTCAATTCAAAGATCCTATTATCAGTAGTTACAAAGGCACACTTGGAAGAATTGACCTACAATGGTCTAAATAAATGGAGTATATACATACCTGTTCTTCATTAGACGAACCTCTCTCTTTCGTGCTGCTTCTTCAGCGGGCTGTGTAGGAAGTGCTGGGGAAGATGCCATAACAACTCCAGGTGCAATGGTACTAGTTGGTGCTGTGCGAATCTGGTATGTCTGTACATCTCCGGAGGCAGCTATAAAGAAGAACAGTGAACAAGGTGTAAGACAGAAACTCTATAACTTGATTTAACTGTGTATCAATCATCACTTTAAACACACTTTTTGGATTTGAAGGGATGTGATAAGGAGCAGATGATTATGGCTAAAATGTTGAAATAATGATCAACTCTGTCATTACTGAGAAATAAATCCCAATTTACTGCATTTATTAGTATAGATAATTGTGTGAAAGATGTCTTAACCTATGTCTGCTGGGTCTCATTTATCCCTATTAGAATGCAGGTCTATTCTGTGGTTAACATGCTTACCAACCTTAAGTCTAAAAGGGAAGTAGGGCACAGCTTGGATGATCTTCCTAGATAGAGTATAATCCTCAGTGTCTTCCTTTGATATTGGTAAATTCATATTAAAAAATTTCAAGTAGACTCTTGCCACGACATAAAAACGACCATGATTTTTCATAAAATAGCAAAATGGAAGAGAAAATAAAGCATTATGGTCAACTATTATAAATTTCTAATTCAAACAAAACTGAAAGTATGAGAAAGTGAAGCTAATTATATTATCTGAAAACATATTGTTAAATGTACATAATAGCTAAATTCAAATTGTATTTTTCTAACTAAACAACCTACTTGTCAAACTGCTTCCAAAAACTCCTTGATGAAATGCTCTCCCAATAAGAAACCTAACATTGAGAGAATTTGAAGATTTTCATAAAATTATCTACATCAGATATCAATATCAATTAACTTGTGTAGTTTGAGTGGAAAAGATTTATATACTAAACATGTTACCATCTTCAAACTGACGTTCAGAATTCAAATTCACTGACATCCTGCTTTACAATTTTTGAGTACCTGCATGTAAAGTGAAAAGGTGTTTTTACTCCCATTAATAATCAAAATATTTCTTTCAAATACCATTTGTTTAACAGAATATATTCTGTAAATACATTAGGGCCATTTAATAAATTGTGACTCAGGTTGGTGTTTTAGGATCATTCTAAAATAATTATTCAAGGTGAATGGTACAGATATTATTACCTAACATAGAGCTAAATGCACTGTTACTTCTGTAAAAAATTTTTTGTTGTTGTTAGTTGTAGGACTTGAACTCAGGGCCTAGGCATTGTCCCTGAGCTTTTTTACTCAAGGATACCGCTCTACCACTTTGAGCCACAGCTCTACTTTCAGTTTTCTGGTGGTTAATTGGAGATAAGAGTCTCACAGACTTATTTGCCTGAGCTGGCTATGAACACTGATCCTCAAATCTCAGCCTCCTGAGTAGCTAGGATTACAGGCATGAGCCACCAGTACCTAAACATATCTGTAAATATTTTTTAGAAACAAATTTATTAGTTCTTCCATCTGTAATATTTTAATCTGGCATAAATTAATCTTGAAGTATTCAAATAAATTCAACAACAACCAAAACCCCTGGTGAAGTCCTACTTACAGAATCCTGAAATGTTTGTGTGTGTGTGTGTGTGTATATATATATATTTATACACACAAAAGAAAAAAGCTATTTCTATAATTCAAGCATTTATCTACTACTACTTTCTCTCCAAAGCCCAACAGTCCTGTATACTGTATTCTTTTGGAATATAGTTTTTTTCACTTGAAATAAGTAGTGATCTTAGAAAAAAGTATTTAAATTTCTTTAGAATAAATTTGAAAAACCAGAAAGCAAAATCCAAACATAGAAGAAAGACCTAGGCCTAGAAAGGTTGGGTCTTTCTCAGGATCACACAGCAGACCCCAGGTAGTCAGGTCAAGAATGCATTTTCCTAACTTACTATTTTTAAAATAATCTACCCCTCCTCAAGTCCTCAAAGACTAAATGTGTTAACGATACATACCATATTTTAAAAATTGAAAATAGTTGTTTTTATGCCATGACATTTTGGTCCAGTTGGAGTAACAGTAGATTTCATGGAAAATATCTATTTCTTAATTAAAGATATATCTAAATAAATAGTGAGGAGACATTAATTATATTTAATGGTACTTACTTTTTTCAATTTACAAAATTTTAATCTTTCAAAGAATTTATCATATTTGTGAATTCTGAATTTTCTTACCCTGAACAACAACTTGGTTGCTGGGCACCAAAATCTGCTGTCCATCAGTGGTCTGTGCATATTGTAGAATGGTTGTACCCGGCTGAGTGGCGGCTGCATTCGTCATGGTTAGTGTTTGCAGACCCTGTACCCCATCGGTACCATTGTTAGCCAGTTGTATTGCTCCTCCCTGGGTAATGGCAACTAAAACCCAATGGATTGTATTGTTACATGTTTATTTAACACCATATAAGATTTTTAAAATATATTTAGTTCAATGTAAAACAATGTGCAAGACAAAGGATAAATTATAATAGCAAATAGTAGCACCAAGAAATGTTTGATATAGTCAGTAATTTTCTACTTAGGAAAACCATATCCTATTTTTAGGACAGAAATGTATTCTATGAACTACATGACTACTTATATAATGTCAAATTCTTTTTGACCTTACTTGTTTCTGAGGAGGTTCTACTTTGTGGTCTGTATTTTTCTTTATTCCAGTATTAGCGACATAACCTATTACTTATACATTATTTAATACTCTGTCCTAATAAATTTCTTTAAGGTAGGAAATGTGATTTTTTTCTTCTCTAGTCTGATGCACTCAGTAGAGTAGTGGGAACCGGCACTTAAAAAAATTGTTTGGGGGCTAGGAAGGTGGCTCAGTGGTAGAGCGCTTGCCTTGCATGCATGAGGCCCTGGGTTCGATTCCTCAGCACCACATAAGCAGAAGAAAAAGCCGGAAGTGGCACTGTGGCTCAAGTGGTAGAGCACTATCCTTGAGCTGAAGAGCTGAGGGACAGCGCCCAGGCCCAGAGCTCAGGACCCACGACCGGACCCCAAAAAAATAAAAATAAATAAAAAAAATTGTTTGGGCTGGGAATGTGGCTTAGTGGTAGAGTGCTTGCCTAGCATGCATGAAGCCCTAGGTTCGATTCCTCAGTACCACATAAACAGAAAAGGCCGGAAGTGGTGCTGTGGCTTAAGTGGTAGAGTGCTAGCCTTCCCAGAGAGGCTTAGGGACAGTACCCAGGCCCTGAGTTCAAGACCCAGAATAGGCAGAAAAAAAAATCATTGTTTGAAATTGCAATTAATATAGCTCTTTACCAGATAATTCTATTTTCCAACTCCTTTAGCAATCATTAACTATATCAAAAGTGTACTTAATTAGCTAGGTGTAGTAATTGTGTTTGTAGTCTGAGGTACTCAGGAAGCTGAGTTGGGAGGATTGTCTGAGCAAGATAATAGAGGCAAGACATTAAGACTTAATCTCAAATAGATAGGTAAATAAATCTTAGGATGTAGCTTACTAAGTATGTTCAAGGACATGAGCTTAAAAAAAAAAGTCCTGTACTTCCTGATACGTTCTTATAGGATCTTTTGTAAAAAATTCACTATCTACACTTGCTACTCATTAAAACCATAAATTATTTTATTTAGATGACAAAAAGCATTGAGAAATGTGGTTCAATCTTTCCAAGTCGTACTGAGGTCAAGTATTCCAGAAAGAGAAGGAATATAAAATTCAAATGGATTTTAACTAAGAAAAAGTTAAAAAAAATAAGGAGAGTTAAAGGTTATTATTTGGCTTGCATAACAAATTGATATTGTGAAAATTTGCATGCTAGCATATATAATTCGTTCATTTTAGCTAATCTTAGACAAGGGGAAGAACAGTATTTAAGAATTACAGTCAGATTCTGTAAGATTAAAGAGTAAGCAAACAGAATCAAACTTTATACAGAGTTAATAAATTCTACTGTATTTAACAAACCATTTTCTTTTTGGCTACACAGCAGTAAATTCAAGTGAAAAAAAAAGCTACATATAAGTATGAATTATAGACCAAATTCTATCACTAAATCCTTATTTGATTTTGTTCTAGCTTCTGTAACACTAATAATATTTGGTTCATTGTTACAAATATTTAAACAGATCATGTATATGGAAAAACTTTGAAAAGGGAAGAGAGCTTTTAAATATTATTAATTTTGACAACCATATGTTCATTTGACAAGAAATAATGTTGTATATTTGAGTGTTCACTACAGTGCTTAGTCAAGAAAATGTTAATAAGTCAGTTCCATCAAAATGATGTGTATATACACAGAGAGGAAAATGGATAAAGGCATTGAATAAAAAAAGGCATTGTAAAAACCCAAAGTATTCAATCTTGAATCTGCATAGTAAACCTGTTACTAACAGGTTCATATTATATGTTCCTAACAGGAAGATACTGCATATCTTAGTATGCTGAAATAGGGGGAAACTAAGTTCATCTATCAATGTAAAAGAGACATCCTTGAATTATTTGGGTAAGAAGCAATCATAAAATTTAAAATGCACGGGCTTAGAGGTGTCATCTATTTATCCTGTCCAACAGAATATTTAAGAAGGAAAAAAGATAACTAAGTCCATAGAGCTCAAATAGTAAATGAGTAACTTGGTTTGAAAAAAAAAAAAAAGCTTTCTTTCAACATACTGTCAAACGTTCCAGCTTTGGGAGAGCTAAACATTTGCTACTTGGGAATCTGTTTTTAATACAGTTGGATGTAAAGTGCAGGCAGGCAAAGCTACAATGGGCTAGAACTAAAAACGAGTAACTTGGGCATCACATACGAAGAGAAATAAAGGAAGTATCATTTATTCACACAAATCAAACAGCAGGTTTCAAAAGTATTTTATGAAATAGCTGGAGGCATGGCTTAAGCGGTAGGGCCAAGTGGAAGGCCCAGAAGGCAAATTCTGGTAGAGTCTTCCAAGTTTAAACCCCATTTCCCACAGGGAAGAAAGAAGAGAGAAGGGAGAAAAAAGAAGAGAAGAGAAAAGAAAGAAGAAGGAGGAGGAGGAGGAGGAGGAGGAGGAGAAGGAGGAGG